TCACCAGCGCACTAAAGCTGGCTTCATATTTCTTGTGATATATGTAGATGATATTGTGATCACAGGTGATGATTCTGAAGGAATTGCTAAGTTGAAGTTGTTTCTGCAATATCAATTCCACACTAAAGACTTGGGTAAACTTAGGTATTTCTTGGGCATTGAAGTTGCTAGATCCAAGAAGGGTATAAGTTTATCCCAATGCAAATATGTGTTAGATTTATTAGAAGAAACAGGTATGTTGGGTGGTCGTCTGGTTGATACTCCTATGGATTCAAATACAAAACTTGTATCTGATGAGGGTGATCTATTTAATGACCCAGGCAGGTTTCGTCGCCTTGTTGGGAAATTAATTTATCTCACTATCACTCGACCTGATATTTCATATGCAGTCAGTGCTGTAAGTCAGTTCATGGGAGTTCCTAGAATGCCACATTGGATTGTTGTTCTTCGGATTATATGATATCTCAAGAAAGCTCCAGGTTTAGGGTTACTATATAAATCAAATGGTCATCTCAGGGTGGAAGGTTTTACAGATGCTGACTGGGCTGGTTCTCCTTCAGATAGGAGATCTACTACAAGCTATTGCACATTTGTAGGAGGAAATCTTGTTACATGGCGAAGTAAAAAGCAGACGGTGGTAGCTCGATCTAGTGCTGAAGCTGAATATAGGGCAATGGCCCATACCACTAGTGAGTTGACATGGATACAACATTTTCTAAAAGAACTTGGTTGATAGTTGAGGCTCCTACTCCATTGTTCTGTGATAATCAAGCAGCAATTCACATTGCATCAAATCCTGTGTTTTATGAGAAGACCAAACATATTGAAGTTGATTATCACTTCATTCGAGAAAAAATATTAAGTGGAAGCATCTCTACTCCATTTGTGAAGTCTAAAGATCAATTAGTTGATATGTTTACCAAAGCATTGGGTCATAATCGGTTAAGAACTATCTGTTCCAAGCTGGGATTATTTGATATATATTCTCCAGCTTGAGGGGGAGTGTTAGAATGTTTTATATACATATATATATATATATATATATAAGTGTTGGGCCATTATGTAATTACGGAAAGTTGATAGGGACCCTTGTGTAGTTAAGTAAGACTTGTACTCTTTATATAAGGCTTGTACACTTTATTAGGTTTTAGAATGATGAATATACAAGTCTGAAACTTCTCTCTCTCTCTCATATATATAACTTTGAACAGGATTAATATCGAGAGGAAGACTGTAATCAGAAAAATATGGGACAGACTCGGACAAAGAGACATCCGCTCTCGTAAAGTATTTTTGGAGAGGGGGATTATAACAACGATAACCCTTCTGAGTGCGAGAATACCCAAGAAACACACATTTAATGGCACAGGGTCAAGTTTGTCAAGCCCAATCCAAGGTTATGGACATAACAAACACATCCAAAGACTCGAGGAGTAAGAGTAAATGGCGTTGAATCAGGATACAGGATTGAATGGGGAGATTTCCCTTGTAACACAGACGATGGCATACGATTAATAAGAGAGCATGAGTTACATTCAAGAGATGATGATTTTAACGTTCAACTATTCCATTTTGTTGAGGACTACAAGTACATGATGATTGATGAATGATGCCTTTAGCACGAAAATAATAATATTCTTTGGCATTGTCAGAACGTAAAATTTTAATGGAACACCCAAACTGAATTTTTATTTCTTACGAAATACTTGAAAAATAGAGACGAATAACTTGGAGCGATTTTTCATTAAAAACAACCAAGTCATACGAGAATGATCTTCCACAAAGGTCACAAAATAACAAAATCCATTAAAAGAAGTATGCCTAATTGGCCCCCATACATCTGAATGAACTAACTGAAAAAGGATTAGCCTCATAATTATTAGCTCTAGGTTTGAAAGATACACGACAATGCTTACTAAGCTGACAAGCTTCACAAGACAGAGACAAAACACGATTAAGGCTTGGGACTTGACGTTGCAAAACAGAGAGTGACGAGTGGCCAAGACGACAATGCCACTGAAAAGGAGACAAAGAGGATTGGAGAGCAGTGGAATAATGCTCGAAATCAAGATAATACAAGCCATCTACTTCATGTCCTGTACCAATCTTCTTCTTTGTCGTAAGATCTTGAAAGACATAACATGTGGGATAACATATAACGGACCAATGGCGAGTTTTAGTAAGTTTACTAATAGACATCAAATTGAAAGGAAATTGAGAAACATTTAGGACAGACGAGAGACACAGAAAAACTAAGATGAATTGTGCCTAAACCCGAAACTTTAGTTGATGAGCCATTAGCAAGAGTAACATTTTGAAGCCCCCGGGGGCTTGGCTCAGTTGGTAGGTGCTTGGCACTGGCTCACACTAGGCCAGTGTTCGATCCCTGCCAACCCCCCCATTATCACCCCTGACTTACCCGGTGTATCCTTGGGGCGAGACTCTGCACCCCCAAGTTTGGAGCTTAGGGTGGGTCCCGAAGGGACCCTGCTTAGGTGAGTTCCTGGTGCTAACTAAAAAAATAAAAAAAGAGTAACATTTTGAAATGGAGGGCCAGAATGAAAATCAGATAATAAATTAGAACTACTAGTCATATAATCGGATGCGCCAGAGTCAAGAATCCAGGGACTGTGACGGGAAGAAAAGAGACATGCAGGCGTACTTGAGTGGGAGAAAGAAACCATGGTAGATAAGATGGATGTTCATTTCTGAGTCATAAGCTGAGCATACTCAGCATGGGGAATAGTGATCATGTCGGAATTAGCTGGTGAGAGCTAGTAGGTGGAGCAAATGAAAGAACATCCTCCGTAGAGGACACCTGATGTGCATAGGCAGATGATTTTGGTTTCCCATGACGGTCCCAATAATACTTGACATTGTGATTAGGAAGACCGCAGTAAGTATATGCGTTCGATTCTCTACTAGGTGCAATGGAATGTGTAGTAGATTCTGCCATTTGACCAAGAACAAATTGAAGAATGCACACAAAAAAAGGTGTACTGGTCCCGAGTCCCGGATGAAGCAACATCACAGAGAACTCACTGTCCCAAGAAGAAACCAGGGAGGCAAAAATCTGAACTGAACCGGGTCTGCTGGGTCAACATACGGGTTGAGTTGGATCTTCAAATGAATCGGATTTGTAACTTAGTCAGATCTGAAAATGGTTTAGATGTACACTCGGTCGGGATAGACTAAACTAGTTTGGGACAAACATATACCAGTAGCCAAACACACCCCACTTCTGCTTCTTCTTCTTCAACAAACTCTGCAACCTCCGGCCAAAAAGACGACGGCAACCACTGACCAACAAACCGAGTCTCACGAAGCTAGCAAACACCTTCACCGATGCATGAACCAAGATGACGATCTAATAATGACGCCACCACACAGGCACGATGACAGCACAAAATCCAAACCAAGTCCGCCTCAACACAATCAACAACTCGACAGACGGCAACACACAGCAACGACGAACACCTGTGATGGAGATGGTGACTACAAGACAGGGCGACACGATCGAGTAAAAATTCCACTCCAGCGTCAGCAAAGAACTGGGTCGCGACGATGAAACAGATCAGAAATTTCACAATCTAAAAAAAAACTTGCTATGACGAAGAGGCCAACACACCGACTCCCTCTTCTTCACGGCATGTCAACAAACAACTTCAAGCGGCACCGATCGGTGCTCTGATACCATGTAGAAACTGAAGGAGAGAGAGACTGATGGAGGCTACAATATATGTATTCTCATTCTATTACCCTAAAATGAAATAGGGAAAATATATACAAACATAAGAAAGGCCTAATTACATAATTATATATAATTATTTATGTATATATTGGACCAGACTATACATAATATATTTTCTTTATTTTTGTAAGTTGGTAATAATATAGTGTTTTTTCCATGAATACATGTCAATTCATTGGATGTGCCAACTTAAGTCACCTCCCATGAAATACGTTCATGACTTTATATACATTGTATTTTTTGATACCACGACCCCCAAAATATAGAGCATACACAAGTCACACTGGTTATATCTAATATAGGTGTATCCTCTACAATTTTAATAGCTATTAGTCTATCTCATTGTCTTCTAAGTTTTACAGCTTATAGCTTCCCCCTTTTCATTTAGTTTCTTGTAAGCAAGTCATGTTTATTTTCCTTTTCCGTGTATCAATAAATTCATTGCCCTTGCCCACACGGACTAGCTCGTTTGGTAAGGTCTTTGGGAGTATTCCCCTTAGATTGTTGGTTCGAGACTCACCAAAGGTGAGGCCTAAACTTAAATGATACACATAGTTTGCGGGCGATTGTGTGCATCTGGAATTTGCGCACCATCCAAGACTCCAAAGGGGCTAGCGGGTGTATTGATTCTTCCTTACCAAATATATATATATATATATATATACATTGCCTTTTGCGGTTAATGTTCCTACATTTTAGATTACTATTCTAATTCTTTGAATCTAATTATTTTGATCTTTTCTTTGACAATAATGCATCATAAAGATTTGACTTAGCTTTACCGTCCTTGTCTATCTCACTCTAGCCCACCTCTTTCTCTCATTTAGATTTGGAAACCTACAAAAAGAGAGTCACTTATCCTTATGATTAGAAGCTTTTAAATTTTTTAAAATTTAAAATAATTAGAAATATCCAAATTAAATTGTTAACATCAATTAAATGCCAAAAATAAATATATAAAAAGAACATCAAATGTTACAAAAAATAGAATTAGTCCAACTCAACCATCCGTATCCTCTTCAGCCTTCCCAGCCTCCCCCTCTAATGCCTTCAATTAGCAGTCTCAAACACAAGGAGCGCATGGAAGAGGAAATAAGCATTGTTTAACTTTGACACGCTTTCCTCCAAAATTGGCTAACGAGTTGTAATCAAGCATATCCAATACCAATTCCAATCAAAGAATCCAAACATCAAATAAGTCCAAAAAAAAAAAAAAGAGACAAAAATATGTGGGAGCAAAACAATTTACCTGAAATTTCCCAATCACATAAATTTCTAGAGCAAAAACATCACATTGCGTCATCCTGGTCTTCTGTTGTTGCAAGAGTCACAGTTTTAAATAAGATTGAAGGTGAATAGTTGAGCTGTGAAGGTGAATAGTTGAGCTGGTAATTAACAATCATTGGCCCAAAAATGTTGAACTTTCCTGCACTATTGAAAGCAACTTCTGCATCAGAACACCTCTTGAAGACCACCCTGGCACGGCTGGTCATATTATCAACTTCAGTTTCAGATTCCCTCAAAGGTCCAAAGCGCCTAAACATTTTATTCAGATTCATTTCTGAAGGAACTGGATCACCCTCAGTAAAATTCAATAGAAGTTCAGTTGGAGACAAATCTTGCTTCCTCTCATCAATATACCCGATTGGTTCCTCTTCTGTCATTTCATGGTGCCCATTAGCATAGCGCTTCCTAGAGTATGATCTACGATTCCGTTTAAGGGATTTATCTGGCTCAAAAGCCACTAGCTGATACTCTCCCTGGTTCTGACTAATGCCTGATGGTTCCTCTTCAGGATTGTTTTGGACAATCATGTCTGTCCAATAAGAGTCATTCACATCGTCAAACTCAAATTCTTCAGGAGACCCAATAATGGCATGAGATGCCTTTTTCTTTCTACCACCACCCATTTTTCCCATGGATGAATTCTGCTTTCCTGAATACTGACCCAAAACAATTGAATTTCTAAAACCAGAGAAGAAATAAGTGATGGTATTTAAGAAGCTGTACCCTTTCATGGGATCCCGCGCTGCCAAGTGAAGTTGCGATAGGATTTCATCTAGAGATGAGTGTTCAGTTGGAACAATTATCCTTCCTTTTTGGGAGTTCTCATGTAAAGAACCATCAAAACCAACTTGTCTGTCACTGCTGCTACACTTCAGAATTGATGGGGATCCAGTCAGTTGACTTGCAACTCTACTAATACACTCACCAATCTTAAACGATGGCTTAGGAATTGGAGATGTAGTATGAGACACTTTGGCAGCATAAAAACTGACTCTCTTATCTTGCATCGCTGAACCATCGGTGATGGAGTCAACGGCCTTTCGTTTTTTGCCAGAAGATTGTGAAACTGACTGACCTGTACCTTTCCCATCTGACCCATCTTCACTATCTGGTGAATACGCTATATCGACCATTAATTCCGACAAGGCTCTCTCTTTCTTGTTGGGATACACACTGTCCTTCAAATTGTGTTTTCTTTTATGGGAAGAGCTGCTTTCAATTTTTGGTTTCCCCTTGACTTGCTCATGATCATTGGCAACAGGAGTAGCATGCTCAATCACTTCGCTCGACTCTGAAGCATCTGTTTCATTTTCCAACAATCCTCCACAAAATTGGATTTCAGGAAGTTCATAATATCCCTTTAGACGAGAGAAGGCCAACAACTGAGCCTTCACAATCACAAGCTCCAGCCGATCAGCACCACCAGATGGGGACTGTGCCAGTGCTCTTACAAACTCCACAAGTTTATCAGGTTCAAAAGAACTCACCCCCATAGATTTGTCAACACCGTATCTTCGACTTGATTCTTGCCGGATCCCAGTGTTTTCAACAATTTGAGATTCAATCTTGTCATAAGCATCTTCTCGTATGCAAGAGCAAGCCAACCCCAATTCTACCCGTCTGGAGACCTCTTCCAAGGCACAGCTCACTGCATTCTGAAATGCTTCTGAATTGCTCTGCTTCTCTATCTGGGAAAAATGTGTCCAAAATGGCTTTAATAAAGAAGCATCATTCCAAGCAAAAGTTCGATCCCCGAAATATGATACCAAAAAACAGTCTTTTTTATAATATTTCATTGCCTTCTCTGATGCATCAGCAGGATCAAAAATCTGTCCAGGCCACCAGGGATGGCTCCTCACCTTACCCCAGACTAAATCAGACACAGAATACTCGCCTTCGTTTTCTGATGGCAGCAAATAACCAGCTTGATGCAATTTTACAAATTTTCCAGGCTCCGGAGCTGCCTGTTTAATTTTCTCATCAGAGACTATTGGCAGTTCAGTATTAGTAGCCTGTTCTCCGATTTCTATTTCTTGCCCTATGAGTAAATCAACCTGCTCAGCATCAGTATATAGTTCTTCAACTTCTACTCCTTGCTCTACATTTGAACCAATGGGGTAAATATCACCTGTCACACTCCCATCTACGGACTTTGAAACATGCAATTCTACATTTCCTTCAATTCCTGGAGCATCATCCCCCATGCAGTAGGACTCATCTGGCAAATAATTATTTTCCTCGGCAGTGCCATCTTGTGACTTCCACACTATGTCTTTGTTGAGACAGGTATCCAAATCTACAACCAGGCTACCCGCAATAGCCTCATCATTCAATTTTGACTCCTCTGCTTCAGGAGCATGAGCACACAATATCTGGTATTTATCTGCCTCACAGGATCCATCTTTCACTTCAATGGCCTGATTCACCGCATCATTAGAAGTTACCACATGAGGAACACAAGTTTCCATGATTTGATCACCATGTGATAAAGATATGTCATTGCTTGCAAAATGAACTGCTAAATTATGATTTCCATCTTGTATAGGAGTGATAAAGTCACTATCACAAGAAGAAACATGGTAATCCCCATTATGGAAAGAAGCACTGCTGAGTGCAGCTTGAGATCCAGCAGTATTTTCAACAACTGTGTCTGAAAGTGCCACATCAGTAGCCCCTTGGTCTGAAATCTCACCAGCATTCAATGGATTAATGCTTTGATCCCCATCTACCTTCTGAGTATGAGTTGCAGTTGCAGTTAGTTGGGCAACTGTCTCTTGTTTCTCATCTTGCATGGATGTATTCACCTCAAAACTATCTGAATTTGTTCCCGGAATAGAAGCACTACGATTGCCAACTGGAGGAGAGTCAACACCTACAGAAGTATCTTTACCTGCAACAATATCTTCTTCTCTGCTTCCATGCATTCTCTCAACCTTCAACTCTTCCACTTTGCCTAAAATGGGAGTACTTCCATCCGATGCATGGCATGATGAAACTTGAACAGTTACCTGACAATCAATCACTGAAGAATCCAATTGCATGTCAATTTCAGCCCTGTCAGATGACTCTGAAATTGCCTGTGCAACACTGTCCCTTTCTGTGCTTCCACCAACTGTCAATTTGTTCAACTTTTCATCTTTCTGAAAATAACCTGTATCATCATTCAAAACTTCAACTTTGGAGTTTGAAACTTTCTCACCTTCCATCACTGAAGCATTCTCTCCTTTAACAAATGGAATGTGTTCTACAGATGTTGCCGGATCTTGATCAGCTTCTGAGAAACATGAATTCCCAATACTAGAATCAATCTTAGACACACTGCAAAGTGCCTCATCATCAAGCTTCAGAACCTCTTTGTCTTCTATCGTTTCAATGTCACCTCTAACAGCAATTTGGTTCAGTTCACCAGAGGATTCCAGGTCCATTGCTGCAGATTCCCTTCTTTCAGCAGCATAATTTTGTTCATGAGAAGATTCCGGATCTGCAAGTGCAACACCGTCTTTTCCAGCACTTTCACATGTTGACTCATACTTCATCTTCTGATCATCTTCTGTACGGTCTGTCCCATCCATATCATTAGTTTTTAGAATATCCACCTTAGGATCTGAGACCTTGCCATGCATTGCTGCAACTTCATTGCCGTTGACAACTTGGATTCCTTCACTAGAAATTTCTGATTCAACACATACAGCAATATTACTTCTGGAGTCCCCACACACAGTCTTGACCCTCAACTCTTGATCTTCTGCATAACTTAAGTTCTCAACAGAAGCACCAGTCACCTTGTTTTCTGTAGTCAAAACTTCTCCTCCGCCAGTAACATGTGTTTCAACATTGTAAATTGAAACCTTACTGTCAAGGGATGCAGAAGAACTAGCTGCAACTTGGGCTTGTTTGATGGAGGATCCTGAGTCTGCATAGAGAATATTAATTTCTCCGATATTCCCACCAGTCCCACTGGAACCAACAACTTTGGGAGCTTCAACATTGGAATCCAAAGAGCACTTGCCATCAACTGTTGCAACTTCACTGTGAGAAACAGGTTTAGTATGCTCGGGGGAGGATATTGGGTCTGCACTCAAATCACAGTGACTTTCTGTATTCTTACCAGCAGTCTCAACCATCATCTGCCGATCCTCTACTGAACAAATTCCGGTAACTTCAACTTTTGAATGCAAAATCTCTTCTTTGTTCATCACCCCTACTTCCCCTACAACAGCTACTTTGGCTTGTTGATTCGAAGATTCAGCATTTGTATGAACGGAATCATCTTTGTTCCTCCCCTTGCTAATCGCCCTAACTTCTGAACTTTGATCTACTTCTGAATAATGTAAATTTACCTCCACGACGTCAGCAGGAACTTCATCTTTATGGTTCAGACCCTCCTCAGTACCAACTTCCACAGCAACATGGGTTTGCCCACTTGAGGATTCTGCTATTGGTGAAGAACATACAACCACAGACTCGATTCCAGAATTTTGTACTGGCGTCAAATCATCAAGTGCACCAGCCACACCGTCAACAGACTCCATATCTCCGTGCATGCCCGTCGCAGTAACAATTTGGGTTTGATCATGCAATGATGCTGCATTCACTGAAGAATCTCCTCCCCTAGACTCATTTTCAGAAGCCTGAGCCTGACCATCCAAAACACCAGCTTTGGAATAAATTATAACACCACCACCATCACCCTTTCCATCAATCAACTCCTTACCTTTGTCCGATGCCTCCTCATTCGCCACCACTGCAGCTTCCTTCACAACATCAACACGGGTCTGTTCACCTGACGACCCTGCAACATTCTGAGAACCTTCAGATCCACTTTCATTCCTACCATCCTGCAATTGAATACCCGGAGCTCCCACTTCCCCAGACCCCAAATCAACAATTCCACCGCCCTTATCATCAATAGATCCCAATTCTTTTTCCAAACCCTCTTTCACCGCGCCCTCGTCCCCATGATCACGGACACCATCAACAAACACATCAGAACCCACCACCTCCACCATTATCTCCCCTTCATCTTCATCTACTTCTTGCCCCTGCAAAGCCCCCTCAATATTTCCCTCATGACCCAAAGGTTCGGTTAGGGTTTCATCCACCGTAGGCTCGCCTACAGTCACACCAGATTCTGAGACAGTAGTCACTGAGACCACATCATCAGTCTCGTCCATAGTCAAGAATCTGAGTAAATTTCAACTTCATCAGCAATAACTTCGTTTGCATACAGAATCAAACATATACATACACGTATATAATAAACCCTAACAACCGAACTGTATAAATCTAAACTATACAGTACAATCTAGGAAACTATAAATCGTGTGATGCATGTATGAAACAGAAACCCTGAATTGTACTTTTAGAGAGACAAAGTTCAGATTCAGCGTACCTTTTAGAGAGAGAGAGATTCTGAGAAGCGAAATCTGGTGTGTTTTGGGGGTTTAGTGAGTGAGAGAGAGAGAGTTTGAGAAAGATCGAAACTACTAACTGAGAAAGCTAAAAAAGGCCTAAAAGCCGAAAATACTGCGTTCCTGTCTTTTTCAGTGATTCGTCAGCTCTTAATTGCATTTTCTTTTTTTCAATTTTTTGGAAATAATTTTCAGGTTTTCTGGTTTTTTTTTTTTTTCCCCCTTTCCTTTCTGTTTTCTTTTGAATAATTCTGATTTCTGACTTGACTTCTTTTAAATTGCAAATCTCTTTCTACTGGCCAATTTTTTTTAGCAAATGCACTTTTTCCCGTAAATTATTAAATGCACTTTTAATAAAATTTAAAAAGAATTAGTAAAAACTTTCATGGGATCTGAAAATGATCAAATTTATGTGATAAATTATTTTCTATTTAAAATCTATAATTTTTATGTCACAATGCCCAAAATTTATTGAATTAATTGTGAAAATTTAATTTTAAAACTCTTATACTCTCTTAGTTTTATTTTTAATATTATTATTAGTTATGGATTTAAGTGAAATCTTTTATTTAATTTGTTAAAAAATGGAGATAATTTTGAACTTCACTGCAATGCCTAACTAAATTAGAGACCAAATGTTAAGAAATTATTACATAAAAATCTCATTGCTAGGTCTACCAAACGTCCACATTACTTATTAATTCTGCGAACCTACTCGCAGGTTCATCTAAGCTGCATTCTTGAATTCTACAACTCTCGTCAAAATTATGTCATCCATTTTGTTCGACCTTAATGATAACGAGGGTAAGTTGGATTCATCCATTTAATGACATGGAAAGAGAATAAATGGAAAAATAAAATAAAAAAGAAATAAAATAATTTTATTTGTATCAGCATCCCCCAATGTTTAAATGGGAAGGAAAACTGAAGTTTTTCCTTTTTCTTATATTATTGTCTCCATTATAATGGTTTATGAAGTGTTCACTTTGACCAGGTTGATAACAGTTCAAGCCCAAAAGCAGAGCATAGGCTTAAACTTAACATGTTGTGGGCTCAATCCAGTTCAATGAGCTTGCAGATGGCCCAAATCTAGAATTCCAGTAATTCCTCGTTGTTCATGTGCTGATTTAAGCCCAACATATCGAGACCATTAATATGCTACAGCCCATAACAATCCACAAAATTGATCTTTTAGAAAACTATATAATGTCATGACAGCTGAGCGAGTATGATGTATTAAAAAGTAAAGGATTTTTTTTAAAAAAACTAAATCTTATATTATTGTGAACCAACATTCTATTTGACGTAACACATCCTGTTAAGTATTAATTGAGAGAAGATATTCTTCTGTCTTGTCTATAAAGGTTAAAAAAAATTTAAATATACATTTGCTTAATCAATTCATGACATTCATCTTACGTAAAAGCCAAAAAAAAATTTGGGATTAATTCTACTTACTTTTTTTTAAGTTTGTCAATATCCCGCATAGATTCTCATTTAGTTCAATATCCCACATGGATTCTCACTTAGTTTTATAATCCCACTTATTTCCCCTGTTAATGATGGACACTCACTTTGATAACCGCAGTGTGTTATTTTATTATTTTATCTCATGAAATATGTTGTCATTTAAGGTATTATAAGGGCAAAACGGACATTCTATCTTCTTTGTTTTTTTATTGACATATGTGGATTCTGTCCCCTAACCGCAAAAAGAACCTATTACATAAATCACAATGTTAAGGGAGGTAAGTAAAATTATAAACTAAGGAGGTCTATATGAGATATTGACAAACTTTATAGAAGGAAAAAATTTACCCAAATTTTTATTGAATAACATTGCAGAAATTATCCACGACATTAATCTTATGTTTGTACCATGGACCACATACTTTTTTTAACACTAATCTTATATGTTTTCCCAAATTTAAATTCATGGAAAAAGGTCATTATTGCAAGATCTTCGCAACCGCAACAAAAGAAAATGCTTAACTAAAACCTAAATTCAAGACAAGAACACAGAATAGAACTTAGTGTTTTTTTATGATATATCGCGGGAAGGCCTATTTTCTATCGTGAAAACTTTTGTCCACCTATGGAATAGTCCCTTCACATTTTGAAGGTTCAACATTCAAATTTTTTATAAAACGGGAGATCTCCATGCATCGACAACAATCAAGTATTATATTTCTTCTGTTTCAATTTAGATGTCATTTTTATAAAGTAATAATTTTTAAAAGAACATATGAGACATGTCTTATCTCCTTAAAAATGTTATTAATTTATCCTTATATTCAAGTTTAAAATTTTAAACTCCAAGGACATATATGAAAATATGTAAAATATATTGTTTGGAAAAAAAAAAAAGTAAATAATTATTTTGGGACAAATCAAAAAAAAAAAATTACAATTTTTTTTTTTTTTTTTTTTTTTGGGACAGCAGGAAATTTTCATACCTTTTAAAATAAAATATTGGCAGTTCAAGTCTCTATGGTGCAAATAAATAAAAAATAAATAAATAAATAAATCCACCCACTACATGAGTCGACAGATGGTTGTAACCAGTAACTCCCAACTCTGCTGTCTTGCTTGAGCAAAACGAAGAAATGACTATAAAGTAGGGCCCACAGAAAGTGAAAAAACAAACCAGCTTTAGCACATGGGGTTTTCACCCATAGAAAGTAAAAACAAACCTGCTTCGGCACATGGGCTTTCAATCCCGTGGTTCTTTTCCAAGCCACAGAGTAATTCTAAAGTAGTAAAGATGAGTGGTCAATGTCTAGAAGGTAACTTTGAAGCACTGTCCACTCATTATTAATTTATTGTGACATCTTCGCATACAGTTGGAGCCTCGAAGCTAACAGTCAATAGTACTTGAATTCTCTTTCTTTAAAATGTTTTTATATTTGATTTCTCTCTTCTTTTTTTTAAAATTTAGAAAGTACAAATATGGATACAACGATGTAAATACTGTATACAATAATTCTAAAATAAAATAAAATACAAGTACAACATCATACAGGAAATAAAAATTTAATAAATTATATATATATATATATAAATTAATTTTTGGTCAATTTTTCAAAAATATTATAGATCTAAATGCAATCATTAATATAATAAAAAAAAGTCGCTTCACAACACACAAAATTATGGGTGGCAAAAATTTCCAATCCGGTGGGGAACCGCTCCGCCCCTATCCCATTTAAAGCAGGTTTGGAGAACCGTTTACTTAAATGGGGTGGGGATGGGGTTTTAAAAAAAAAACCGGCCGGTTGCAGGGCAGGGGCGGGGGACTAAGATCCCTGCCCCATACCCGCCTCGTTTAATATTTTAAATTATTAATTTATCCTATCATGTTAATATATTTACCAAATTAACATTGACTCTTTTTCTCTATCTATATATATTGGAAACCCTACACTTAACACTTCCATATATATATATATATATATATATATATATATATGTGTGTGTGTGTGTGTGTGTGTGTATATGTGCTATGATTGTGTTTAAATAAAATCGGTTATGGGGCGGGTGATGGGGCGGGGGCGGGGGCGGGGCAAGTGGGGCGGGGGGCGGGGGCGGTTATGGGGATTAGAGGCAAAAAATTAACCGGTTATGAGGCAGTTTTGGGGGCACCAAAATTAAACGGGGGCGGGGATGGGGAATGGGAAACCAGCCCCAAACCGCCCTATTGCCATCCCTACACAAAACAAGCATCCCTAGTCTTCACTCACTAAAATTTAAACATTTTTTTTAACAATTATACTATGTTATTATTATTAAAGAAGTTACATTTTAATGTTCAAACTTATTAATAATGTGTTATGAAGTATTCAAAAAGTGTTATACACACTTGAAATACTTAATAAATATTGAATACATGTTAGAAATTTAAAAATATATTTTAAAATTATGAATACGTTTAAGAAGTATTGGACACATATCCCGCTAGCAGGGGCGGAGCCATGATTTAAATTCAGGGGGCACAATATTATAAAAAATATAAAAATAAAAAAAAAATAAAAAAACACGAAGAAGTTTAGAAGTAGAAAAACATAAAAAAAAATAAGTAATAGAAAAAGAAAAATGAAAGAATTTTGAAAGAAATGAATTAAAATATGATTGAATAAGGAAAATTTGACCTTTTTTTTTCAAGGAAATTAAAGAAATTTAAAGAGTAAATGAGCAAAAAAATGAAAAGTTAAGAGAGTTTTGAAAACTTAATATTTTTAGGGGAGGCATAATATACAAATTTCTATATATATGTAAAAATAATTTTAAAAATTCATATATATTATATAGGGCGGGGCAGACCAGGTGGCCCTAGGCATATGCTGACTCCGTCCCAGTCCGCGAGTATTTATAGAGTATCAATACCTAATACGTATTTGATACAAATACTCTCTTAAAAGTATCCGTACTTCCTAACCCTTAATTCTTAACCCTCTAATTATTGTGAGATAAAATAAAATAAAAATATTGAAAGTTATACAAACTTGAGTGTACATTATTTACTCAAAAACACCGTTTGCCTTTTGATTCAAAAGTTTGATACCATTAGTTCATCTTGTATTGTTTGCAGTTTGTTTGATCATGAACATTGAGTTGGATTCCTATGCAAACAAATGCTCCACTGTATTATTTATTATTTATTTTTTCATTTTTTATTGGAACTAAAATAATACAGACAGTGTATTTGGTAAGTCCCTCTGTCATAGACTCATAGTTTGTAATATTAAAGGGCAAAGTATAAAAAAAAAATTCCTCTGACTTGTAGTTTTTTTCACTAAATTTCTTCCTATAATTTTTTACTAAAGAATCCCCCTCAACTTGTAACCATTTTCAATAAATTCTCCTTGTCAAGTTTTTTACCAAAGAACCCCCCTCAACTATCTAGGGAAATAAAAGAGTTGATATTTAGACCAAAATGCCCTTTTATTTAAATCTTAATTTTTCCAAACTTCAAAAATTCATATATCACAAACCGTACATCCAAATATTGCAAATAATATATGCAAAGAAAGCTTATAAAACAAGGATTCCAGAAATATAAGATTTGTTTAACAAAACTTCATAATTAGAGAAAAATAGATAATCTAAAAATCTACTACAACAATCTTATTTTATTTTATTTTTTATAAAATACTCGGGCTGTTTGCAAGAAAATTTTCAAAATTATTCATTTTCATATGGAGTATAACATATAAAAAAATTAGCCCCAATAGAGACTGAATATTAATTTTTATTTATTTTAAAATGGTGAGTCTATAAAAGAATGAAAATACTTTGATATCTCATGAAATCAATCTCTGTTGGGGCTAAATTTTTTATATATTCAGCTCCATATGTAAATTAATAATTCTGAAAATATTCTTGCAAATATCTCGAATATTTTATTTTTTAAAAATAAAAGAAGATTGTTGGAGTAGATTTTTAAATTGTCTATTTCTCTCTGATTATGAAGGTTTGTTGTATACATCTTATATTTCTAGAATTCTTATTTCATAATCTTTCAGTGCATATATTATTTACAATTTTAAAATGTACGGTTTGTGAGATATGAATTTTTGAAATTCGGGAGAATTAAGATTTAAATAAAAGGGCATTTTGGTCCAAATATCAACTCTTTTACCCCTTTCAGATAATTGAGAAGGGTTCTTTGGTCAAAAATTAGACAATGAGGATTTATTGAAAAAAGACTATAAGTCGAGAGGGGTTCTTGGTAAAAAAATAGACAATGATGGTTTATTGAAAAAAACTACAAGTCGAGGGGAATTTTCTGGTACTTTGCCCTAATATTAAATGTAAATTAAGTTGGCAGATTCACAGGCACGTTGTAAACAGATGAAAATCCATGGATTATCCAACACTGTGTTCAGTCCATAAACCAGCTATACAACTCTTTAAAAACAATTAGTAGCCTTCATGTTTCATTTTTTTTCTTTCTATATATATATATTTTACCAGAAGTTAAACAAACACACATCAACAAGTTGCCCTTTACAAGAATCGAATTCTAAATCTTTTGTATTTCATTTCCCTTCTTGATAGCTTTCCAAATGTCCTAATGCTTTGTTTGAGTCTTTGAGAGTACAAAATCGGTAGTTTGGATTTGGAATTGAAATAAACTTAGGCTATGTTTAGCGGCATGAAATTGGAAAATGTTTTGCTTCTGAGTTGTTTTACTTCAATTCTAAAACTCCAATTTCATTAATTCCAATTCTAAAGCCCTAATTCCATGTCCGCCAAAAGTTAAAATTCTAAACTATATTTTCTCCACTCACATCAAAAGCACTTATCAATACTTCTACATGCAACATAAACAAGTTAATTTATTTCTTTTGTTTTAACATTCCACATTGCAAAGATAATGAATTAGTTTCACATTTTGAAGTAGCACCATTTAATTGTTAATTTGATCACCATAAGGGTGGTGTGCTTTCTTTACAATTCAAAAAAAAAAAAAATTCACGAATTCTAAGATGATTCAAACTCCCAACCTCCATACAGAAGGTTAAGAATCTTTCCTAAGCTCTTATTAAATTCGTGTACAACTTTTTCTTAAGTTGAATACGACTTTCTATATATTTCTATAGATATATATATATATACATCTGTATAGGGAGAGAGCCCAAATGTTATTGCTTCAAGACATGTATTTTAGGAGCCATGAGAAGCTTCTCATAAAGTATAAGAACTTACATGACAACTATTACAATAGAGGTTCATTTAGTGGTTCACATCTCAATCTGAGATTGGAAGTTAGAGAGAGAAATGAATGAATCTAATGAGACACCTAAGAATAAGAATTAAAGAAAAATAAAAATAAATGGAAAGAAGAGCCACCACAGATCAGATAATAATGTTTTTACTGAGCAGCCACCACCCTCCAACCCTTTGGTTATTTGTCACTAATTGATCTTAGCCACCCCCTTTCAAAGCTTTCACCAACTGTACCTATTCCACAGCCAAGCAAACTGTATGTATAATAATATCAGTTTACAATTTATATTCACTGTACTTTCATATATATAACACATTCAATGAGCACTCCACTTGTTTTGAATCAATCAATAATGTACCAAAACAAACACAAATTGGGAAGATATTTTTGCACAACAATAATATACTAGTAGAAACTTGAATCAGCCAATATGTTTGGTAGGTGCAAATTTAGTAACACATTTTGGTTGTAGTCCACCCCTCCCTAATGTCATGTGTTTGACACAACATAACAACGACTCAAACACTACTTGTACATTCACAGGTGACCGCAAATTTTTTCTAGAAAGTTAACACATTTTATTACGTGGTAGCTCATTATGAGGATCATATAAATCATATTTACCGTGCATCATATGAAATTCACATTGAGCCCACCACATCCAAGAGCATATATCGATGGGATGGAGTTCGAATATTTTATTGTACTATATCAGACGGTTCATAAATATTATTCGCGTGATTTTTTTTCAGTGTTCAATACCATATTGCAGTGGACCGATGGGACACAAACGGATTCTGCAATCCATGTAGGCAGGACATATGCTTTAACCACGAACCAGTCCACTTAGGCTTTAATTAAGCTTTACACATCATTCAAAAAGGTTAAAGATGACATTCCTAAGGGCATTTTAGTCTTTTTACCATTGGGTTAGGAGGCCAAAAACAATCAAGGCTCACGTGAAAAAATGATTTCATGTTTATTTTTTGCGACATTGACTGGTGTGACACACACAAACATAAACCTTAAATATATAGGGATGTATGTACCTGTGTTTGGAGCAATTGATGTGGGCTTTGATATGAGAGTTGGAACACTGGGCATTGGGCCCACATTTGCTGGGGAGTAGATGTGGGCTGGCAGGCCCATCGCCTGAGATTGATGAAAGTGATAGAGAGGGTACATAGGCATCAATGTGTTGCCGCCACCCACCATGGGCTGTCCCGGGTATACTTGAGGGAAATGACCGTTCATGTAGGACCCACCGGTGTAACTTAGCTTCTGTACACCCAACCAACAACAACCAAATTACTCTTTTACCCATCCAATTATATTAAATAAATAAATAATAATGATAATAATAAAAACCAATTTCACTTATCGCATTAACACAAACCTAACATGCATATGTGTGTGTTTGTGTGTGTGTGTGTATATATATATATAAGTAGAAATGGAGACCACGTGCTATGCATAAGAGAAGTTCTAGATCTACTTACATGATTGTAATTGATATCTGTAGTAACATAGGTTGGAGAGTACCTGAGAGAACAAAAAAAGAAGAAGATGATAGAATAAGGACGCGTCCTATCTTAATAACATAGGACACAGATCAAATTAATGACGAACACAAAGAGGGACCCGTACCCATAGAAAGGAACGGCCTGATGGTGCTGATGATGAAACGGCGACGTTGGCGTCCCCGCAGCCGGATAGTACCATTGCACGTGACTCGCAGGTGCCGGCGACGCAGATCTCAGTCCAGCATTAGATCCTTTATGATTCACTGCTTCAAAACATTACACCCCCATGAAGTCCGAATTTACAAGAAATGCCACAAACCGGTAATTTCGTAATTATGAATCACCCGAAGGGACAAAAATGTAATAATAGTACCTTGTAGAGGAGGAGGAGGAGGAGGAGGAGGAGGCGTGGTTGACGCCGATCTCAGCCGCCGTGCACCGAGCGAAGCGAGGTTGCAGTTGGCTCGGCGGCCGTTGATCACCGGCGCTGCGTCCTCGCACGCCTTCTTTGCCGCCTCGGCGTCCTTAAAAGTCACCTACAAATCAAAACACAAACCATTAGCCACGCAAAAAAAAAAAAAAAAAAAATGCCATTTAGAATGAAAATTCAAATCAAAATATTTTATTATTATTAATAATAGTACCACAAAATAACGACAATGATATTTAGAACGAATTTTAAATTGGTCTAATATATATTTTTTAATTTGTAATATCGGTTAGACTGTTAGGTCTGAGAGTCATATAGATCGAGGTGAATGGAAGTACTTACGAAGCCGTAGCCCTTGGATCTTCCGGTGGCCTTGTCGAAGATGATGACGGCCTCCAAGATGTCGCCGTACTTGTGGAAATGGTCTCTGAGGAGCTCTCTCGGAGTCTCCCAAGCTAAGCCTCCCACGAAGACTTTGGTCAGTGTCGTGTCGCCGAACTGTCCGATGCTGTTGCTCATTGTCATTAATTTTCTCGATATGTGCTCAAGCACAAACTCGTTACACTATATATGAGTGTATGTATGTGCTTTGTATATAATCTGGAAATATATATGTTACACCATGCATGAGAGTTGGAGTCTGAACAATGGGGTGAGAGAGAGGGTGTGTGTTTGCAAGGGACGTGGAAGGGAGAGGAGAGTGTTTGTATATAAAGGGGAGAGGGGCAGGTCTAGTACAGGTGTATGCGGAATATATATATAGATATATATGTATGTATATGGTATATGAATATATATATATATATATATATAATATATATACACACACATTATATAATGTAATATGACCATGAAGAAAAACAAAGGGACAGTAAGGGCAGACAGATAGGCCTTGGGGTGTAGTGTGGCAAATGGCAACCAAAATGATCTCCTTTTCATCTTCACAGCTCAAATACTTAAGTGGTTGTCTCCCTTGGGACCTGAATTCGATTGCAATAAACAGTACTATTCTTGGTGCTAGAATGCAATGGGTCTTTGTATTGTATTTATTCTCCATTCCTTACCTAAAATGCAGTTTATGGATTCGAAAGATTGCTTCATCTCTTTGTGAATCTCGTATTTGTGTGCGTCAAAATTTTAGTTTAAGATATTTATGTGTATAAGAAATTTAATCGGATTAAAAAACTGAATAAATAATAATAAAAAAAAACCTTTAAAAAACAAAGAAAAGAGCATGCTGATCATTTCATTAGTTAGAAAAAAAGTTGAAATGTCAGAAGAGTTTGGTGGACCGTCAATATTACCTCCCTTTTGAAATAAATATTAACACGAGTGTTTAGTCTACGTAAAATTAATAGACGTTATTTGTATATGTAAAAACTTACAAATGTAAATTTTAATAATTTTGTTTATATAAATAATGAAAAAGCAAGTGAAAAAGTGTTATGTGTGAATATTACAATAATTTGTTGAAATGAGATAAAAGAAAGATAATAACCAACAATATAATTTTGGATGTAGCCATACGTTTAAAATTTTATAGTGATATTTCTTGACAATAAACTACAGTTGACCAATATTGGTTTATATGTTATGAGAGTTGGTTCTTAAAATAAATAAATAAACAAATTGTCAGCATGAATTTAGAATTAGCGAAAATTTAGTTAAAATTTTAAATTACATTTTTTTTCCAAATGCAACACGAGTACGTTATACCCTTTATAAGGTAATTTTTTGAATATATAGTATTTGATACATCTAACAAAAATGATAAATTTATATACGGACGCTAAATATAGTAAATATTGATCAAAAGTTAAAGAAAATAACAAGAATGTCCTTAATCTCATTAATATATCGCCCTCATTTTATAATACCACATCTACCCTTTTTCATTATAAACTTTTTCTTTTTACCTTATTTATTTTAGTTACTTTTCCTTTTCTTTTTCTTTTTTTTTTTCTCACAAAATTCCTTATCTTTTAATTTTATTGTCAGAAGAGTTAGGACTTTCTTTATCGAACAAGTATAACGTAAACTTAAATATTCAAATAAATTATAAATTAATTCTTAAAAATCACATTAGAAAAAAAAAAAATCTTAATGTAAACTCAAAGCATAAAACAGAAAAGAAAAATAAAAAAAATAAATTACCATTCCTATCATTTTTATCATCAAAGGAGTTTAATAGTTCATGAAGTTTTAATAGTTATTCAATGTTTTTTTTATACTAACAAGATCAATTGCATTGTTCTAATTATGTTTTTTTATTTATTTTTGAAATATTTTATTATCAAACCCTAAACGAGTGAGAAGAGAAAGTTAATATAAAATAGAGAAAGAGTTTTGAAAGGCAAGAGACAAGAGAGAGAAAAAAAAAAAAAAAAGTTAATAAAAAAAAAATACAAAATATCAAAAAAGAAAAAGAGGGGTGAGACAAAAATATCTTATCGTAATTGAAAATAATATTTATGTTATTTAAGAAAAATAATTATTAATTTTTAGAGACGTGGCCTCTCTATTTTAATATAGTGTTTAATACTAGAATATAGTATAAGCTAGTTTTGCAAGCAAAGAAATGGTCAAAGTCTAAACTTAGCGAGACTGACTGTCCGATACGTAGGACCCAGTTATTATGGTATGATTCAGTGGTTGGGTCCCACTTGAATAAACGGTAGTGGAGAGGGATGATGTGCGGTTAAGATTGACTCTGTTTATTTTATTTTGATTTTGTGGTTTGAGGAAGTCATATTTGAGGAGATTGTGGGTCACACGATTAGCCAATCACACACCGAAAGGGTGTAAGATTAATCATCATGCTTAAATTGGAACTATGTCTTAGTCCTTAATAAGACATGCTTTCACATTCTATTGCCTTTTTAATACAATTTTTTTTTTCTTACTTGTTTTATTATTATTATTATTATTATTATTATTTTCAAGAAAGAACAAGCAAGCAGAGTATCATTAATGCAAATAAAATTATCTTTTATCTTTTCTTTTTTTCTTTTATTAGTGATTTAAGATCAAGTTTTCATAAATTAAAGTAAGTGTGTGAGTTTTTTGTCAAAATTATCAATAAATAAATAAATAAAATAAAATTATTTTTTATTATTTTATTAATCATATATGTCACTCCTAATTTCACCAACCCTTTATTTCTTAGTTACTCCTAGGGACGGAGCCAACGTAGGGCTTGCCCGGCCCTCTATGATATATGTGGTGAATTATTATTATTATTATTCTATATATATATTGTGTCCCCCTAATTTTTTTAGTTTCTAAAATTAGTTCTTTACTTTTTCTTTATTTCCTCTTAATATCCTTAAAAGAAAAAGTCAATTTTCCTTCCTTAATTGAACTAGAACCTTTTTCCTTTCAAATTTCTCTCATTTTTCTTTCCTTTTATATATATATATATATATTTTTAACGTGCATATTTAAAAAGAAATTTTTTTTCCTTTTTTCTACTTCTTAAAATTCTTATTTTTAAGGTGCATATTTAAATATTCAATATTTTATATTTGTATATATTTATTTTTTTTACATTGTGCCCTTGACTTGAAATCTTGGCTTTGGTTTTTTTTTTTTATTTTTTTTTATTATTATTATTTTTTTTATGCAAGGCAAAAAATATTAGATGTTAGCAAATAACTAGACTCGAGCTTGGACACTCCAAATTTCACAAAAGGCTCTTATCTAACTCGGCTACGAGGCATTTGCACCCATTTTAAAATTTCAAATATATGAAAGCATTAATCAACATTATGTTCGTATAATATAGAATTAAGTGCCAAAAACTTCCTTGTTATATAAAAAATGTGCAAAAAACATCCCTATTAGAAACAAATTGCATATAACTCCCTGCATTATTCATCTTTTGAACAAATTGCCTCCTAGCCTATTGAATCAATCTGATAAAAAATAGTCATTGGTGATGTCATTTTTTTTTTTTTAATTCAAAAGTACTCTTTTTGTTTTAACTTTTCTGATATTTTGTACATGTTCCTCTAACCTTGCTATTATATCTCTCCATTGTTTTTTCTTTCTAAGGTGTTTGGTTTACAAGGATTTACGATCATTTTTCTTATAGTCCCTTCGTCCTATATTAATTTTTTTTTTTCTTTCATAATTGTCCTATATTAATAATCCATCTTTGGTATTCTAATTTTAAAAGAGACATAATTTTAATCAAATTTTGAAATTTTGATTTTACTCTTTGAAATTTAAACACATGTATTATCAAGTTAAAAGTTTTAAAAAATTTAAAAAGTATTTATGAGAAGATACATTTGTTTTATTTTGGCATTTCAAATAAATAAATAAATAAGTATTTTGAGATAGTAAAAAAGAAAAAAATGAACTATTAATTAGTACAATGGTCTCAAACTCTCAATGGTAAAGTTCAAGGGATAGTCTAACGGTAAAGACTCTTCGCATCACAGTTTGGAGGTTGGGAGTTCGAATTAGGGCTTCAATTCAGGCGGGTTGGAGGTATAACTTGATCATAACCCGACATATGACATGTTCAATTCTAACATGACCTTCAATCCTAACTGTTCAACCCGAGCCCGATATATCTTTATATTTTTAAACTCGTATTTGCAATTCGGGTTGATATTTCATATTAGAAAACTAAGTTAATTTGGATTATCCATATGTTCAATCCCCAATCTAAAAATTTAATTTGATTTTTAGTTAGTTTCATATAAATTACTCCTAAACACAGATTCTTTTAAAATTTTATTACAATTTTTTTACAACTTCCAAACAATTTCTTAGAAATTAATTCTCCGAAGTGTGACATATAACAAGTCAAGATTTAAACAAAATAAGTTGAAAAGAAAAAAGGTGATCAAATATTATAAATAATGTATTTAAAATAATAAATAAATATGAAAATAATATTATTTTCAGGTTTTGATCTGATCGAGTTGCTAGTACCTCAACCCAAGTCCAATTCTAATTAAATTATGATTGAAAATTTTCAACTCAAGCCCAACTTTAATTATAAAAATGGTTGTCCAAATTCACAAAAAATCGGCCGGGAGCTCGGGTTGTCTAATCCAAGTTACACCATTTCTTTTAACATTTATTCATGAATTACGAGATGCTCTGAGATATTCAACACCACCAAGACAATAACAAAAAATAAAAAAATATAAAAAGTCTCTATGGTCATTTATACACATTCTCTCACCACATCCCTCTACGTGTACATACAATACTATATGCATATGAGTACATCTATATCTGTGGGTGGTCATTGGGTTTAATGAACATAGGCCACGTGAGAATGGCCAGGTATACAGAATCTCCATCTCTCTACTTGTATCTATGTTCTTTCTCTGTCCATCTCGAGGAAGGTAACATGGCCAGCTGTATTACCCAGAGGAGGGGCATTTTGGTAAATCAACATGGGTTCAGTTTGACCCAGAAAAAAAAAAGCATCACGATTGAGGGATCGAATGTGGATTGTGTGGTCTGATATGACTGTGAAGGAGGGGGTCATAGTGGTCTTAGCTGGAACCTCTGTGGGTGTGAGTTGGCTAAAGTGGACACTTACCTCCGCTTCCTAAATCAACATGATTTCCAATAGAACACACACATAACACACACATACTGTGTGTGTATATATATAATATGATTATCATTATATATAGAGAGAGAAAGTAGAGTGAGAGAGAGAGAGTTTGGATTAGGGCTCAAATCAAGGCAAGATAGAAGCCTAAAACAGAGAAGTTTTGGACGGGTGGGGGAGGTGAGCTGGCTAGGCTCGTGCAGACAAGAAATGATGGTGAAGGCGTGGGTGGGGGATTCGGGAATATTTAAGAAATGTAAAATGTCATCTTCATGCACTTTTTAGTTTTATGAATTGGATTCTTCCAAAGGAAAATTGTATATATATATATATATGATATGACAAATATATAAAAAATAAAAAAATAAAAAAAATTCAAACATAGACGTTAAAAAGAAGAATTTTAAAAGTAGAAAAAGAAAAGAAAAAATGAAACAACTTTAAAAGAAAAAAGTCATAGTAATTTGACTTTTTCTTTTAAAGAAATTAAAAGATTTTGAAGAATAAAAGAGAATTAAAGAAAAAATTGAGAGAGAATTTTAACAATTAAAATATTTAGGAGGCCTGGTATAAATTTTTTCATATATATGAAAAAAAATAAAAAAAAATATCACATATCAATGCTTTGTCCCTAAATTATATATACACATATATATTAAAAAAAAAAAAAAAAACATACGATAGTGCTAAAATAATGTCATGTGATAAGTGCAAATTCCAGGAGAATATAACATGACTCCTTTTTCTTTCAGGAGTCAGAATGTGTGATTTTCTACTCGTTTCATAATTTTAACAATTAATTCAATCTCCAGTGATTAAGGAGTCTATTTCAATTAATGATGTTGACAATATTGGTCTTGTTAACATATTATCACATTCAAACAAATGAATGTCATCTAACAAAGAAAAAGAAGCAAACAATTCCAATACAAGCTAGCTTTGTCTTTCTTCTAAATTGTGGATGTGTGGAGTGATACGCGGGTTGTGCGTGCCAACAAATGATTTGACCCTCTTGGAATGGTCCTCATGAGTCACGTGCATCGAACGTGTCATCTTACTGATAAATATGAATGGCCAATTGTCCTATTTATTGTTCAAAGAGAGAACGAAATATGCATATATGGAGTGATGAACATGTCACGTGCTCTACTTATGCGCTTCAAACACACACACAGTTTTAAAATGAGTAAATTAGACTCTCCCTAAGACCTGAAAAAATTAACATGATAGACATTTCTATCAGGTAAATTGTACACCGGAGGTAGTAGGCATTATTGACTTTTTATACTCAAAGTCACTTTTTGAACTCCTTAGTATTTTCATCGAAGATGTCAAAATAATACTGCATCGGTCTACTTTTTATATAAATTATCCAAATACTAAGGAGTTCAATGTAATTTACCCTTTAATAAAAAAAAACCAAATGCTACTAATGAATGCAACAAAGTACCGCGTACTGCTTAAGATTTACCAGACCGTGGGCCACCTCAACAAGGCCCAGCACATGGTAAGATTTGGATGGGATGTTTCTAGCTTTCAAGCAAACACAATCACACTACTTCACATTATACCCGTGGATTCATGGTCCAAGATGACTTTTGTCAAAACCCACTTGAGTACCCAAACCCAACTTATCAAGTTGGTTAACCGTTATAATCTTCATCTTCCTGTCTATAATTAGACTGCACCAACAAGAAAATAAAGATTACTTTGTGCATTATTCTACTTTTTCTTTATAACCAAACTCAGCAGTACAATTCATCTCCCTCAAGTGTGACTAGAGATATTAAAATAGAAAATCACCCGTTAATATCTAAAAATCGATTGTTTCGGATTTTTGCACCTGTTAGAACGTTAAACCTTTTGAAAAAATAAAAGAAACAAATGGAGTCCATATCCTCCACCCCGGGGCACGTGGCTTGTGGGATGACGTGTGCCCGAGATTGATTAGTCTCACCTGTAAGGTGTGGGGTACCTCCGCTGTGAAAAAAATAAATAAATAACCCTGCTGGTTGTTCCTTCTCATTCCCACCCAACCACTGCAAATGAATCATCCATATCTATAGGGGAAAATCATGTAAATCTTCAAAACTGGCATTGGCACGGGTATGACTCGTGATAACAACACCAGCATGAAAAGACATAATTGCAGCTTCTCATCTGTTGCACAAATCACAAATGAAATGTGACAGCAGATCTTGCTCTGCCAAGACAAAATGTAAAAAAATAGCTGTTTCTTATCAACACCATTTCAGATGTTCGACTGATGGGATAATTTAAATATCTGTCCCCGTATCTATCACAACTACAAAGAACCCAGAATTGGAATCCCCTGATCATTAAAGATTAAATTAAAGTGCTTTGGATTGAATAAGACGTCACTGGTGTTGAGCAGCAGCTACCATAAATATAATTTCGAATAACGGAATCAGCAAATACGATGTCGGAAATCCCAACTTGCTGCGTTGGATGTGTGAGAGACAACTAGATGTTGTCCATGTCACTGCAAGATTCAAAGTGACAACAACGTCAAAAACCCAACATGACAACCATATCAAACATTACAACAGCACCACTCCCTTCGTAAAGAAGAGATCGGAGGAGAAAGAAATACCATTTTCATTCTAGACAGCATCTATAAGCCACAAAATCCATCACTCTTAGAAATAAGCCAATAGGAAACCAAAAGAAGGGAGTAGGTGAATAAATTAAGCCGAAGGTGTGTGGTTTGATAAAACAAAAAAATTAAGTTTACTAGTTCTAAAAGGTTTTAAGTTGCAAACCTAAAATCTAAGGATAAATATTCAAATTTTGAACTACCATTCACCAAGTGCACTAAATGACTACACAAAAAATAATAATAATAAAAAATAATAAATAATAAAAAATAGTGTTAAGCACTTGACTGGATTATTGTATAAAGCCCAAAAGAAGGAGCTCAAACATGAACTATAAAAAAAACAGCACCAATGCATGAACACCACGGTTAAACAAACCAATGAAATAAAAGGACAAAAAGAAATAAAAAATAAAATATCTAAACACAAAGAATGTCAAATTTTGCAAGTTTAATGATTTTAGATGCATCATGCTTCCAATTAATTTAGGTAGACAAGTCTGTTGTGGTAGAAATATATAGAGGCGAATTCAGTTAAAAGACACATATACATATAGAGAGAGGCAACCATTATCAATACGGAATCATAGTTTCCATTAGTCAAGGAAATTATTTATAATATTAACATCGGCAAGGCCATAAATTAAGGGACTACCGCATGGAGATTTCCAGATAAGGTAATAACAATTTATGGAATATAAAAACTGAGGCCACTACATGAAAGACAAATTGAAAATTTAAAGTTTCAAGAGACAATAGGCAATGAGGTTGTTTAGACTTTAGATACCAACTGAATAATAAGCTTACTGACCAAGGCAACTTTGAAGACCAACCAAACCATTAAATTATTTAAATATGGTAGTTTTCATGCATTAAAGCAACTGTCACTAACATTGCAATGCATGAAGGCAACTGTATATCCAGATAGCATGGTAGTTCTCAAAACTATATATCAAGGTAAAACCTTATACCGAGTCAACAACATATCAAGACGGCACAACAATTTTCCACACTGTAGGCCTACATGTTGAAGAAACCATAGATTAAAGACGTAGAATTGATATTAACTCTATATCAAAGCAACAATATTTCTAAAGCTTGAAGCACTGTATTGAGTCAACAAAAGTCCTACAACCAAAACCATGCAGTGAGGAAACTATGTATCAAGTAAGCATTATGTTCAAGTCACAAGTGGAAGTTCTACAAATTGACCGATCATCAATTTATGCAATGCTGTGATTGGGCAAGTACACACATAGCAACTTGGCAGTCTTAACTCCTGCCAAACCGTATTTGAAAGCAACATTCATTTTTCATGTAATTTATGAGCTTAAGATCCACCACATCAAATAAAATTATAATAATAATAAAAGAAGCATCGTGGCTTTTTTGTTAAAAGCAACCATCACTTAAGGCAACATAAACATCTACAATAAAACAAGGTAGCTTCCTAATATCTGGTCAAGTTGGCTTCAAGGGAAGGTACTATACTGGGACGGCAAGGTAATTTCCAGATATTAGATAACCATCAATTAAGGCAACATTGATAAAGATGGAACATGGTAGTTCAAAGCCCAAGGCCCCAAGCAAACCATATAAATTGTGTACAGAGACAACTATACAGTGAAAGAAAGAAAGAGAGTTTATGGGCCTAGGAGGTCAAATATCCTGACATTGCAGAATATACATTGAAACAGCCTTCGATTGAGAAAAGACTCACAAATGTACTCACTTCTACCTATAACATTTCCTTGTCTAGCCACTTTCATCTCAACATTTTTTGATCCATACCATAAATAGAGGCAATATTGTACTTGAAAATATCCATCATAAGAAGTGCCTAAGGGAATGTGGCACGTGCCATATACGGAAATAAATCAACATTTTTATTGCAGTCATAAAGAGCTGCATACAACTTTAATTAAAACTTTTAAAATATTATTTATAAATATGGAAAATAAGGATATTTGGTCAACACTTCATGGCACAAAGCAACGAGTGATCGTCTGACCAACAAACCTTAATCACAGGGTTCTCCTTTACATTAGTGTGAAAAAGAAGTATAATAATTTAGAAGATCAGACCAAGAATTTTTACAATTTATCAAAACTATTAGAAACTAAGGGATACACATGGTTCAGATTGGATCGATTTGAAAAAAATGGTTTAAGGCTAAAAGGTAAGAAGTAAATCGTTGTTAAAATACTACATATTAATACATCATTGTTAAGGGTCGTACCTAGCATACATTGAGGCAACAACGAATTAAGGCTAAAAGGTAAGAAGTAAATCTTATATTGACAATTTTCAGATTCACTTGATCATAAACATTAAAATTATCATTTATGATGATATCAAGTCGTGTATCACAGACTGCAAATGTGATAAATATGTGGCACAGAAAGCAGAATGATCCGAAGACAATTCATAATCACTTACTTAGGCACAGGTAATGGTTGTTTAAGTTCTAATTTTACAAGGAAAAAATGGTTTGGAAAGCAATTTTACTTTGAGAATTAATTTTGTGCAAACCATTGAGTTGAGCACCGGTGACAAGATAATATTTCTAATATTGGAGAAGTCATCAAATGTTCTAACTCTCAAACCCTGCCAAACATTTTTCTAACTCTTTTCAGAACAGGACTAGGGTTTCTATACAATATAAATTTCTTTTTGTGGATTTTAGACACACATGCATGAAGAACATCACTTTTACATCTAAAACACTCTCTTGACTTCCAAGGTACCTATAATAAGGTCATTTATAACTCAAAACTCTCATACACCTTTATGGATACACTTAATTGGAGGGTGCATGTTCTTGAGATTTGGGTGATTTCTACAGCTTCCAAGTATTATTCTTCACCAGCAGAGTTGAGTTGTTGAAAGATTCAATTGTGTGGGTGGTTATTTGTTTGAGTGTTCTCCGAGATTCAGCAACGTTCATGAAGAGCAAACAGCAGAATTAGACAATTCATTCTTTTATGATGATTTTTTTTTTTTTTTTTTTGATAAATTAGACAATTCATTCTTTTATGATCGAGCACCATTGACTTATGAGCTGAACTTTCCAAAACGAAGGAAGAATAAGAACATCGCCTCTTCTAGGGTTGAAGAACGAATCTGAAAGTGAAACCGGAATATATGATTTTGCCCAGCTTACCATGAAGCGTAGGAGATTCCTTGAGCAGAACATGAACAATGTTAAGAAAGGGTATACTTCTAAAATTAGGGGTATCAATTCATCTAGGAATAGAAAAAGACTAATCAAGGAGACTGAATTGTCATGAACAAGGTAAAATGCTTAATGAGTGCTTAAAAAAAATTAAGAAGGTAAAGATAAGAAGAAACCAAAGAGGCTTTATGAGCGTAACGAGCCATGTTATCTTATCTTGACTTTTTCTATATTGAATCTAATTCTTCAAAATCTAATAATGATAATTCTCCTCATGTTGCATTTCTCATTGTTGCTAACTTGGAGCCTAGTAGTTCTTTTGATTTTTCCATTGCAGTAAAGAATTCCTCAAACTTTGAATCCTTGAGTGATACAGATTCTAATGATTCAGGAAATGAAAATAATGAGGAAGAAACTTAGGAGACCAGTTTTTGAAAAGCCTTTCCCAAATTATTTTTCTTAAATTCATAGTTTCTTATTAATTCTTTGCAAAACAAACATATATTAATAGTGCAGAATATGAAGCATGTTTTTATAAATTTATATTATACACATATATTAATAGTTTACAAAAAATTTCTAAACTTACCAATTAATCTAGACTTCGGAACACTTGAAAATTAAATCTACCGAAAAATCTAAAGTTTTTTCGTGTCTTGATTTGTAGATCTATTGTTTGCTAGGGAGGGGGGTTTGGTATTCCCTGGTTTGGTCTTAATATTTGAAAAAAAAAATAAAAAATAAAAATAAAAATAAAAACTATGAGAGAGGAAAGCTAAAAATAGGAATTTTAGAACTAGACCGAAAATCATGGCTATCTAGGCCTAGTCATTACAAAAATCATGACCATCTAGACTTTGAGACAACGTTGATTTTTATTCTGGCTGAATCACAGCCGTCTCGGGCAAGTCAAGTCAAAATTCAACTGGATAAACTGAGTCAAGCCAAGATTAGATTGTCTCGAGTGAGACATTTGAGATCTCGGCCTAACTCGGACACGACTCTAGCCGAGTCGCCCAAGTTTTAAAACTATGAAGTTTAAGAACAAGAAGAACATAAAATCAAGTAAACAAGAAGGCAATATATTGAGATATTTTAAGGGGCGGAATAATCCCAATTCAAGCCCTTTACAACATTTTATTATATCAATTTTGTAATTATTATAAGATTTCCAGTTCCCATATTATCTCTTTAGAACATGTATGAATTTGAGGTTCTAATTTTATGGGGGGTTCTAGAATATAGGCTTTAGTGTCCATATGGAGGTTTCACAAGTACATGCAACTGCAATTTCTTCTGTTCTTTTAATGCTTTCTCTCCCTCTAAGCGATGCATGAAAATACATGAAAGGGAGAAGATTACTCATCAAAAAAAAAAAAAATGAAAGAAAGAAATTATAAATGACTATTTATGAGTATTCAACATTCACCAAAGTTTGTTCCTTTTCCAAATAAAGCCAATGGGGACAAGAAACCGTAATCCAATATCCCAAGCATATATTACGCAAAACTTAGTCCAAAATTTCAACGACAAATTACTACTAATTGTATTTTCATTTTGCCTATGAAAAAGTAAAACATCAAGAGAGAGAGAGAGAAGGAGAGATTTACCTGGGAATTCACATAGTTCATGCCTTGAGGAAATGAACCTTGATGAGCAAGCTGCCATATTTGTTCACCATAAAAGACAAAAAGAAGATAATACAATGAGCTTGTGAGATAACGTGCAACCATATAAAAATGATGTTAGCAACTGAACATATTATATCTCCCAAAAAAAAAAAAAAAAAAACCCAAGAAGACTTCACTACAACACCTGTGCATTTGGGGCAAGCAGAGCTCCAGCTGCATCCCTCTTGGCGGATCCATCCCCGCCCCTAGCAGACCCCCGAGTTTCACCCTGTCAAAGGTAACAATTTAGAAGCAGTGTCAGCAATAATTTTACATTGACTACACAAACCACAGTTGTATAGATGAATAGAAGAAGAAAATGATATTTTAGTGAAGGAGATGGTTTACATACCTCTAACTGTGACATATTCGTCGTTTCACAAAATTATCAGGACCAAAAAGGAAAATCGATGTGTTAGATTAAACTCACAAGAATCGTGTAAATCAAAGACAAATTAAACATAAAATATAAGTTAGTACTTGATTTGGTTGCAAATAAAATGTCAGAAGGCAAAAACAAATTCTAAACCTCCACCCACCAACAGTGGGTAATACAACTAACAAGCTTCAATATTAAATAAAAATCAACAACTTAATTTTTCCTTTCCTTCACGGTCTTTAACTCACTTTTGTCAAAACCAAAATAAGAGTAAAATTTTAAAAATATATGTTTGCTTGTATGATGTCAAATCAAATAACCAATACAAAAAATCAAACAAGTAGAAATTACCTCTCTGTACCTAGCTAGGTACACCTTGAGCGGATCAATATAATCTTCAAAACCTAATGTTGCCATTGCCCACAGCAAATCATCGCCATTAATCGTCTTCCTCTTCTCTTTTTGACATTTATCACTCGCCCTACACAACAATCAGCAAATCATTTTCATAAAACACACACCTACTTCAATAAATATTGTGTGTGTATATATACATATATTATATGATCACGCACTCGCTGGTGATAAAACTGATGAACTCCGAAACGCATTCTTGGATCGTGTCCTTGGCATCCTTGGCTATCTTTCCGTTCGCGGGCAACGCCTTCTTCATGATCCGACTGATGTTGGCGATCGGAAGGTACCTGTCCTGCTCGCGAACGTTGGAGCGAGGGCTCTGGTCACCACCGCTCTCGTGGCTCCCGCCGGCGGGACTCGCCGGAGAATCGGCCATCGTCGCCGGAACCCTAGCTTCATACAGACATGACCGTAGAAAATCATTCCTGGAATTAAAATTCAAACCCCAAACCCTAGAGAGAGAAAATGAAAAAGAAAAGGAAAAATTTTCAGATGTATAGAGAGACGCTAACCGGAAGAGAGAGAAAGTCGAAGGATATATATAGATTTATATTTGGCGCGCGTCGAGAGATGATTGATTGATGGAATTTATTTATTTATTTTTATTATTTTTTTTTCGGAGAGAGAGATCGGACGCTTTAGAAGAGGGGTGCGAGAGAGAGAGAGAGAGAGAGCGTGATTTTGATGAGTGTTTTTCAGAGGATTTTCTCGGCTTTGTATGTGTTATCTGCACCGTTCATTGTTTAAGCAAAGACTATCCACCATTTTTGAGCAATTTTATAGAGTACATGCTTCTGGTTTACACACGTGTTAGTTGTGTCCTGTTTTATTGGATTGACTCCTTGTGGAAAACCTCAACAAGTATGCTCAAGGATCCGGAACCATCTAATTTAGACTCAATTAGTTGGTGGAGCATTAAAATTTGGGTTAAGTGAAAAAAAAAAATCCCTCGTCTTTGTGTCAAACTAGTACATATTTTTTAAAAATGTATATGCAAGTTCATAGAATTCAAAACAGGTGCATGCAAGCCCCTAGAATTCAAAAAAGGTACAGAATTAGACCCTCTGACATAAAATAAATTTAAAAACCCTAATTTGCCCTTTATCTTCCTACTATACCCTTTTGTCAAACTAGTACATATTTTTTAAAGGGATAATTACATATAAATGGGGTTAGGGCTCCGTATTTACTCAGAGGCGGAGTCAAAGTTTCATATTTCCCTAAAATGAATTGCTGACGTGGCACATGAATTATTACTGTTTAAGAAATGTTTTGCCAAAAATGTCCTTCTCACTTTTTTTAGTGTTGCCTAAAATGCCCTTTCTCCATAATTTAATATATTGCCCTAATTCGTTCGGTAAATACGATCTTCTTTGGCCCTAAAAATAAAATTCTCTCATTCGCTGCTCTCTCTCATCGCTGCTCTCTCTCTCTCTCTTTCTCCACGACTCTTTCTAAGCCGGTCCCTCCACCCTCTCTCTCTAGCTTTATCGCTGTAGGAATTGAGAAACCCAGCTCAATTTTCAGTCCAGCTACAATGGGCTCAGAAGAGGGATCAAGGGTTCTCGGTGAGCTTCAAACCATACATTTGTCAGTGCATTTTCATTGTTTCGGTTGAATTTTTCTTGTTTTCTTTTTTCAGCTGTAAATTTGGATTGAGTTATGATGATTTGGTGTTTCTTAAGCTTTTTTGTTGTAATGGTTCTTGTTTTTGTGTTTTCTTCTTATTGTAGGCTATTGGGTTTTCTAAAATTAGGGTTTTCTTCCTATTGTAGGCTATTGGGTTTTGTAAAATTAGGGTTTTCTTCCTATTGTAGGCTATTGGGTTTTCTAAAAATAAATATAGAAACTACACAACAGGAGCCAGCTGCAACTCCTTTTTTTTTTTCACTCAATTTAATAGGAAAAATGTAGAGAGCGTGATTTTACATCATGGATCGCTGGCACTTATAAAATGTTTTACATAGCACTTGAAAAACAAGAGTTCAAATTTGAGGAGTTGTCACTTAAGAAGCAAGGAATTACTCTTATCGTGCACTATGGTTAGTGTCTCTCAAATTCGTTGTGAATCAGTTGCTCTGTTTCCAATTTATTTTAATTTTAATTTTTTTTTTAAAAGAAATTGTCACTAAAATTTTCTTACTTCATCATCAATCAATTGCACAGAGCACCATCACATCAATCACTACAGACTCAACTGATTGATTTAACTGTCTAACAAGCTATTGGTTGTTTGTGAATAGGGGAGTAATGGTGAGGAGCCAATGAAGCTGAAGCTATATTCTTCCTGGGGGAGCTCTTGCTCTTGCCGTGTTCGTATCGCTCTCAACTTCAAAGGTCTCTCTCACTCTACTACTTTCGCTCTCTAAATTTTGATCAGTCAATTTCTTCTGCCGGTTTCACTTTCTAAAACCCTGATTTTTTATTTGATTTTAGTTAAAAAAATTTTTTTTTTGTTAATTATTGACCATTAGTTATCGCCTCTTTCAACATAGATCTCAAATATGAGTACAAAGCAGTTGATGTCATGAAATGAGAACATTTAGTCCTGGTGAGAACATACATGGTGTCTCAAGAAATTTCTTGTAGTATTTAGGCTTATTTATATGATGATAAAGTATGATATTTATAATAATTAACATATTGGGTGTCTGGCATTAATGTTACACTATGGACATTCAAACTTCAGAATTCATTTTTTGTTCACACATTATGATCAGTAACTTTTGTTGGTGGTGGATAATTTATCAATGAAAGTTACTTTCAGCTGGAAATAGACATCAATTTAAAGGAGAAGTCACCCTCTCTTGAAAAGAGTCATAAGCTCTCTTCACTGGCTATTGGATTGAGAAAAATATCGTAATTTGTGAATGTAAAAACACAGTCTGAGAATCTTATATCAGTCCTATCCATAAAGAGAATTCATGGCTCTTGTCAACTGGAGATCTTTGGATAGCTTTACTATTAATTTAAAAGGTTTATTTGGAAATGCAGAAATGTAACACTAATTTCATAAGTTAGTGTTTGTCTTAACTTTTTGATCCATTTCATGCATCTAATAAGTGAAAACAAAATAGAAACTTGATTATTATCTATTGCTTGTAATATTATATATATATTCAGTTTGGCTTTAAAAAATAGAGTCTTGAACGGTCGTTGCAATTTAATCATTGGCCTAAAAGTTTTTGGGACTCTAGCTCCATATTCTTTTTTGGTAGTCTTTATATATCTTGTTAATGTGTTATCTGTTTTTTGAGTATAGAATATTTAAATATCTTGTCAATATCTTGCTATTGTAGGCTATTGGGTTTTCTAAAAAGAAAGATAGAAACTATTAGATATAAGGGGACTACACAAAAGGAGCCGGCTGCAACTCCTTTTTTTTTTCACTCAATTTAATAGGAAAAATGTAGAGAGCGTGATTTTACGGGTTGGATCGCTGGCACTTATAAAATGTTTTACATTGCAATTGAAAAACAAGAGTTAAAATTTGAGGAGTAGTCACTTAAGAAGCAAGGAATTACTCTTATCGTGCTCGTATCATACTCTTTAAATACTAACCAATATGTGTTCCATACTTTTTAAACTTAGTGCTTTCTAGACAGTGGCTTTAAATTGAATGTACCCACTAAATGGTTGATTTGCTAAAATAAGCTATATCCTATTATGCACTAAAATAATTGGATTGGTTATGTACTTTCTGCTACAATGGTTTTCACATAACATAATTGTCTGTGTTCGATGATTAACACTCGCAATCAGCATCTTTCTTGAGCCTCTTTGTTCTTTTGAAAGAATATTCTTTGAGCATTTGACTTGACCAATATATGAAAAATGATATATCTCAAATTTCTGTTGTTTCGAGACAGGAAACCTTCACTGACTTCAATTTTTTGTAAATAATGACAGGATAAGTTCTCATCTAGTGAAGATAAAGTGGAAGTTGTTATTAAGATTTTTTAAATTGATGTCATTCCTGTTATTGTGAACTTCAGAAGGTTAGTTTCTATAATCCTCTTAAGAATGTATAATCCTCTGAAAAATACCCCTGCACACTATCATACTCTTTAGGATATATAATCGAAATCGTTATAAATTATAGGGATTATTACACATAAATGGACTTAGGGTATCATATTTACTAAGAGATTGAGTTAAAGTCCCATAGTTTCTTTAAAATGGGTTTGACCCAAAAGCTGAGGTGGCACATGAAAAAATACTGTTTGATATTTCTGTTGCCTAAAATACCCTTCTTCCTATTTTATGTGTTGCCTAAAATGCCCTTTTCTACACTTGCCTAATTTCAAGCCCTAAGGCCTTTCATATTCCATTCGGTGTAACCCTCTCTCACGACTCTTTCTCCCTCACTTGTTTCCTGCGATACAGATACAATATGCCATGGCACGAACAATCTTCGATCTGCTAAAGGGAAATCAAATACTCAGGCTCAACGGTTCCTCTTTCCCTCTTTGCTGAAACCCTAACCTTTCTCTTTCTAATTTCTGGTGTAGCGGCAATAACTGGACGGTTGCAAACAATTGGGGTTTTTTACCGTCATCTCAGCCTCCGGTCACGTTATAACTCTTGAAATAGGTACTTTGACCTAATTAGAGCCCTAATGCTCTTTCATATTTCTATTTGTGCAGACCCTTCTCTCTCCCATTCTCAAATGAGACCTAGCCCTCACTCTATTGAATCCATCAATGAAAGCCTAACCCTTTCTAAGCACTGACATAACTTTGCCTCAATCACAAAGGCTGATTGTTTGAAGCTTTGTCTTTTGCAAGTTTCACCTTCAGAGGAAAATCGCCCAGGTACTGGCCTTGTTCTCCTTTCTTCCTTTTCTAAACTTTCATTGATCTTTATTATTCTGCTTTCTTCCTTCTCTGAACTCTCATCAATTTTCTAATTTTTTCTTCAATCGCAGAAGTTATTTCTTCAAGCATAGGGATAAGCCCTAACCCTCTCTAACCCGGGTACTATTTTCCAATTTCTTCTTTCATCTCTGCCTTCCCCTAGAAAGTTGTAGAGTCTCTCTGTAAATGATACTATGTGTTGAAAATTTTAATCAATTAAGTTGTTGTTACTTTCTGCTGACATGATTTCAATTCATGTGTTGTTTACATATTCACTAGATTTGAGGATTCATATGTTGTAAGCTGTGTTTTTCTGTCTTATGAAGTTGCTGGTTTTTTTTATTTTCTTTTATTTATTTATTTTTTTAATAGAAGAATGATTCAGTTTTATCCTTTTTGGTTTTGGTTGTGCTACTGCTCCAATTGGGTGCATACTAATTTGCAATAAAAAGTGGAACTAAACTTTCTTGTTTCTCCAAAGATAAGATTAGAGGATTTTTTTTACTTTAAAAAAAAAAGATAAAAAAATATTAGAGGATTTTTCAAAATAACTGCATACCAGTAATACTGGTAATTTCTTTGTAGTCTCATTGTAAATATGACTATGATTACTATTGATAACTCCTCTGTTCATGGTAGGTGTGATGGCAATACAATTATTGGTTATATATTATGCAAGGAAGTAAATAAGTCAAATCCAAAAGTTAAGGGAAAAATAACTGTGGTGTTAATGAGTTCTCATTGGGAAACACTTGTAACTAATCATGCAGAATTTCATAAAGTTGTGGTAAATCTCAAATTTCTGTTGTTTCGAGACAGGAAACCTTCACTGACTTCAATTTTTTGTAGATAATGACAGGATAAGTTCTCAGCTAGTGAAGATAAAGTGGAAGTTGTTATTAAGATTTTTTAAACTGATGTCATTCCTGTTC